TCGGAATGCTTTCTTGCTTATCAGAGACCAGTATGGGGCCAACAATGGTTTGTCACTAAAGTAGTATTGTCCAAACTTGGAGGGCCACCATCGGTACCAGGGCTGCTCAAATGATATCAGACCATTGCGACAAGCCTGAAACCAAATCAATAGAGGATGCCTATTTTCCGAGTCAGGATTCGAGTTAGGATTCGAGTTTTAGGATTCGAGTTTTAGGATTTGTGCAATGCAGTCTTCGAGATCAAGTTGCATTAAAAGGTCACATTAATATGCATTTTTTTCTTTTACAGCCATTCTCAGGCATATGCTAATTCTTAAGAATCTGTCTCGACAAATTGGGTTTTGGTGGACATCAAATAAACCGTTGCCAAAGCAATGCCCAGGTGAGGATTGACCCAGCAATAGTCGCAAGGGTGCGTGGGTCTGAGAACGGCTTTAAAAGAATATCGAGTTCTTCTACTTATCCTTGTTTAATGTTTGATCGTGACTAGCTTGCAGGGCGACTACTTTAAAAGTAAACGAATTGAAAAAAAACTTGGAGGAAATCAGGAAGGCAAAAGACGCGTTTAATATTCACCCCGGGCCGCCCTTAATAATAACAGCAGTTAATAACTAGTTTCCTAGATAAACGACCTGTTTAATCTAGAATATATTGAAAGTTACGCGTTTTGGTGATGACTTTTTAAAACATCAATGTCTCGTACATTGATATAACCGATACTACATGCATGTGCGTTAGTAATGATTTGTGGAATAATTCAATGACAGAAAAGAAAAAGAAAATACAAAACAGACTCTTCAAGATATTAACATTATTTTATACGTTATTGTTTAAAGTGTTTTTCAGAAAGAAATGCACGTAATTCATACAGCGACAGTAATTTTTTCCAGTCTATGAAAGACCACATAATATTTGATGATGTTAATTATGTACAAGCATTGCTGGTTCCGGCACTCTCACATTTTGATAGTTTTTATGATAATGATTATGATTTTTATGATAGTTGCTATGATTTCAAAATTAAACTTTGTGTTTTAATTAATTAAAAAAATTAAATACTCATTTTAATAATAATAAGTAATAATAATGATAATAATAAGTGTGAATTTAAAAATTCGCACTTTTCGTAAATCGAATTTCAAAATTCGAATTCCAAAACTCGAGTCCAAAAACTCGAGTCCTAACTCGAGAATCCTAGCTCGAATCCTAACTCTGGTGTTAGTTTATCTCAAATCAATATTAATGTGATCATCGCGCTCTAGTGCCAGCAACATTCTTGGATTATTCTATCTTCCAACCTTATCGTTTGTTTATCCTTATCTTTGTTTACTTACATACAACATGTAGTGCCTTTTCCCGAAAAAAGGAAAACCTTTAACACCAAGGTAAATAGATCCAAAACATCTTGAGGAGGTGTAGTATCTTTTGTCTTCGTAATCTCCTTTATCGGGGCCATAAGGATACATCATTTGATCAGCTGCTGGGGTTGTTGGTGCTTTGAAAAACGAACATATATTATTTATAGTAGACTACTAACTATTCTATTGAAGTTCCCAAAGCAAACCATTTCTTAAAAGCCAACAGTTTTGGAAGAATGACTCATTCATCTAGGTGATTTTTTTATGAAGCCATTTTTCTTGCGGAACATTTTTAAGTTCGAACATCATTCACAAAATGCAAACATGTTCGATTAATACCTTTGTCTTCTTTCAAGCGATTCAATTTAGGCTTAGACAACTACTAAAGCAATAATTACACTAGATTTTTTAGATTTTTCTTTCTTTTTCTTTCATTTAAAAAACACTCATACATAATCATGAGCTAGGCCAATAGAATGAGCCTATTGGTCACATGCATGGACCTTTATATCTGACCTTTATCAGATATAAAGGTCCATAACCCTAGCAAAGGTCTCAGGTTTGAAACCTGATCATTCATCAATACAGGATGTCAACCGATTTCAGTGAACAGCCAAGAGCAGTTCTATTTTACTTTATGCGTATTCAATGTGGGATGATTCGCGCATGATCAGTTTGCCCCATTTATCTCTAAACATATTTGTACGGCAATTTCTCCAAGAATTTTAACGGACTTGAGTTTCAAATTAGTGTTGGAGTTTTTTTAAGCCATTTAAAACACTCGAGATCGTATTTTATCAGGTATAAAGATTCAAGCCTTCGGCTCGAATCTTTATACCTGATAAAACACTCTCTCTCGTGTTTTCAACTATACATATATGATACTTCTGGAGTACTTGACAATGTTGGATTACCTAATGGCGTTGGAGTGCTTAACACTGTTGGAGTACTTGATGATGTTGAAGTAGTAGTTGGTGATGTTACATTACTTGATGTCGTTGAACCATCAAATGACGTTGGAGTACTTGTTGGTGTTGGAACTCTTGACATGGTTGTGGCACTTGATGATGTTCGAGTACTTGATGATGTTGAAATATCAAATGACGTTGGAGTACTTGATGTTATTGGAACTCTTGACATGGTTGTGATACTTGTCGATTTTGGAGTACTTGATGATGTTGAACCATCCAAAGACGTTGGAGTACTTGATGATATTGAAGCATACAATGACGTTGGAGTACTTGATGTAGTTGGAACTCTTGACATGGTTTTGATACTTGACGATTTTGGAGTACTTGATGATGTTGAACCATCCAAAGACGTAGGAGTACTTGATGGTTTTGGAACTGTTGACATGGCTGTGGTACTTGATGATGTTGTAGTACTTAATGATATTGTACTATATNTGCATCTATCATTGAAACAGTGTTCTAAGTATCGATTTAATAAGAAATAAGAAATATTAAAAAGCTATGAGGCTGCATATATCATGTCTTAAAACGTGAAAAACAATTAACAACATAATACATTTGCATAATTCGAACCACTAATGTAAATTTGGAAGATCGAATTTTATCACGGAAATATTTTAACACCATTTCGTATGAAAATGTGTGCTTTTGTGCTTTTCTGTGTTTAAGCTAAAAGGCACTTGAAATACTGAACAAAAGTTGAAAAGCACGTCGCATTCAAAGTGTAAAATGTGTGAAATGCATGAGATGGGTCCTTCGTGTATAAATTTAAAAGTGTTAGCCCTGTGCTGATTTTATTGTGTCACCTATAAATTAATGTGAGCTAAAGTGCAAATCAAATATAGCACTTACCAAATATTTGAGGTTTTTCTGCCATTCTGAGTACCAGTGACGTAACCTAACCCACGTGATAACCATGACCCATGATGCCTTTCCAAACTCAGTTGGAAGAGAATGTTCTTTACAGTACTTTTTGACATCATTTGTTGCTCTTGTAAGGATGCTTGTCTTTCCACTATCTTTTTGGTAGATCTGGTAGTATAACTTAGAAATCCCTTGTCGGAATGCTTTCTTGCTTATCAGAGACCAGTATGGGGCCAACAATGGTTTGCCACTAAAGTAGTATTGTCCAAACTTGGAGGGCCACCATCGGTACCAGGGCTGCTCAAATGATATCAAACCATTGCGACAAGCCTGAAATCAAATCAATATTAATGTAATCATCGCGCTCAAGTGACTGCGATATTCATTGAATATCCTATCTTCCAACCAGTCCAAATCTTAAAATAGACGCCTTATTTGGTTTTACTGTAAAGCCAGATCAGTGTCTCTAGAATGCAGGGAAAAGGTGCCTGAAACCGCACCTACTGCTCCACTCAGGGCAGTTAAGGCATGGCTCTTGGAAAAATATCGAATATTAACCAAATTTATTCCAAAAAATTAGCCTTTCAATAGAATTCACTCAAACTTGGCAAGTGTCTCTACTTTGGTAAGTACTGCATTTTTAGGGCTTTTGTTGCCATGGAAACGATATCACGTGACTTCAGGGCGGCCATCTTGGATTTTTCTTTTGAGGCTCTTGAAAAATATCACAGACACCTTCAAATCTTTTAAAACTTTATATCCGAGCATTAATTAATGTGTTCTATAGAGACCTAATTAGAAAAAATGGTTTAGACTTAAGGATGCTTTGATTTTCCTTGAACAAGTTTCAAAAAATGACAAAAAAAATATTTTCTCAATTATTTCAAATGTTAACCAAAATTTCTAATTTGTTTTATGTAATAAGTGATAGTAACTATTAGATTGTGGATTTTCACTTCTTTTGATAGAGTCTGTGATATTTTTCAAGAACCTCAAAAGAAAAATCCAAGATGGCCGCTCTGGTGTCACGTGATCTCGTTTCCATGGCAACAAAAGTCCTAAAAATGTAGTACTTATCAAATTGGAGACACTTGCCAAGTTTGATGGAAATTTATTAAAAGGCCAATTTTTTAGAATAAATTTGGTGAATATTCGCTATTTTTTCTGAGAGCCATGCCTTAACTGCCCTGTGCATCGATGAACAAAGGATGAGGAAATTTCTTCGACAAAGAATGAGGATCGCTTTTGTGCAATCATTAGGACTAGGATATTGTCATAGCAAAAATGATTGTAGATCAATTGAGTCGTAACGCTGCAGAAATTCAATTCGATCGAGATTATTTTTTGAATCAGAGGATCTGTGGCAGAGTAGCCTTGCAGTTGTCGGTCGAGAGCTGTGGTCCTAGTTCAATTCCTGATCTAGAACAATATGTGACCTGAGATCCAGCTTTAAAAACGCTGATTCTTGCTAATGCTCCGCAGTATTCTGCTCCAAACACTCTATGTTTTCCTCCATTCATAAAAGCTATATGTGTAATGTGCTCAACAATCAATGTTGACGTAGTGTATGTCAGTTGATTTATAGAGGGCGACAAGTGTACTTACCTAGTGGGATTATTCTGTGCTACCGTGGTTAAAAAAAAAATATTTTTTTCTGACAGCGCGCAAGGCAATTATTAGCAGATTGAAGTGATAGAGCTCCCTACTGTCACTCGATATTGTCTTATCGTCACCTACAACAATAATGATGCCAACGTGCATGTCTAAAACAATAAATGGTTTACTTACATACAAAGTGTAGTGCCTTTTCCCGTAAAAAGGAAAACCTTTGAAACCAAGATAAATAGATCCAAAACATCTTGAGTTTGTGTAGTATCTAGTATCTTCGTTGTCTTCTGCATCGGGGCCATAAGGATACATTGTTTGATCAGGTGCTGGGGTTGTTGGTGCTTTGAAAAAGGAACATATAATAGTTTAGACTTATAAGATGTTATGCCGGATATTATTATTAGCTATTTTACAAAAATTCCGCAAGTGAGCTGTAACGGCGATAGAATAATTTTTGTTTTCTTTGTTATATGTATTTAGTTTGTCACGTCACGTTAGTCCCTAGTGTATTGTAGTTAAGTTAAAATCATTTACATTTGCATAATCGTCCTCTTTTACCGTTTACCGTCTGAGCACACACATCGTTTTGTAAGTATAGTTTTTCGTCGACGTTTTTTCAAGTATTTAGCTAGTTTATCGTTGTAATTTATTATCGTCATTTTATAGGAACCATCATGTACGTTTCATACGAAATGCGTTCGAAACTTGTGAAAACTGATTACTAGTAAAAGGAATAAACGACTATTATATTCGTTCAAAACGATKTCAAGAAAATTCACGGTGAAAGGGAAGGCCTACAACGAGGAGAGACGGAGAGCCAACTGTAAATCTATAGTAACAAGAATCCGAAAACTTCRAAAGAATATTGAGATAAACTGTCAACAATTCGATAATGTTCATCTGGTGCAAAGCGACTTGGACAATGTTTATCAACTTRGCGACGAATTGAAGGAGCAATATGAGTCATGGATATCCTGTTTAGACCACGAAGTCGATGTTCATCATGCCCATAGCTGGTACGAAAATATCAAGCACGAAATAGAAGTATTTGTGGCAGGAATTAACGACTGGATAACCATTGCAAAAGATCAAATCGAAACTCATCTACGAACGCCCTCGGAGCAAGGAAGTGTTTGTGCATCGCTACAATCAAGTAAATCCGCCGCACGAGTAAGATTGGCAGAGCTATTGACCCGATCTGAAACGTTGGAAGAAAAACAAGCTCTAAGAAATCGTATGGAAAGACTTGAAATCGACGAGCAAATTGCCATCGCCAAAGCACAAGAACGAGCTATCTGCGAGACAGAAGAACAAAGAATGTCCAAAACAACACTGGCACGTTTACCTTCACGAAAAGAAAAAGRAAACTACGATCTCAAAATGAATATTGGAACGACAACTTTTCCAAGATATCAACCTGATCGAGGGCAGAAATTGTGCGAGCCTATCAACGAAGAACAACCAGCTACACCTCTACGAGTACGTCCGACGCCACTTCCGGTTCAGATATCACCAATACAGTCATCGATTGCTACGAAAGTTCATCATGGRAYTAGTCACGAAYACTATAGAAGTAMAGAAGGTRAAAGAAAACAAACGCCATCCCGTAAAACAGGTACTTCCAGTCATCTTAAAGATGCAAAGACAAGAGTAGAACCTCCACCGACGCCAACGAGAGGTACTTACAGTAACGCTAGAGAAGCAAAGCCGAACGTAGAACCTCCACCGACGCCAACGAGAGGTACTTACAGTAACGCTAGAGAAGCAAAGCCGAACGTAGAACCTCCACCGTCCCCAACGAGAGGTACTTACAGCAACAATAGAGAAGTTAAACCGAAGATACAATTACCACCGGCACAAAACGCCATTACTTACAGTCATACTAGAGACGTGAAACCGCACATAGAGTCAACGCCGATGCGTACAGCGGATACTTACAGTNACATGGTTGTGATACTTGTCGATTTTGGAGTACTTGATGATGTTGAACCATCCAAAGACGTTGGAGTACTTGATGGTTTTGGAACTGTTGACATGGCTGTGGTACTTGATGATGTTGGAGTACTTAATGATATTGTACTATATAATGACGTTGGAGTACTTGATGATGTTGGAGAACTTGATGATTTTGAACCATCCATAGACGTCTGCGTAATTGATGGTGTTGAAGTACTTGAAGACATTGGACTACCTAATTGCGTTGGTGTACTTGATGGTGATGGAGCCGCTGACATTAATGTGCTACTTGATGATGTAGGACTACTTGATGATATTGGACTACCTAATGGCGTTGGAGTACTTGATGATGTTGGAGAACGTGATGACGTTGACCAATCCGTTGACGTTGGAGTACCGGATAGTGTTGGAACTCTTGACATGGTTATTGTGGTACTTGACGCTGTTGGAGTACTTGATGATATTGGACTACCTAATGGCATATAACTTTATAAATCTCGGTAAGTTTTGAAGTTTCACATTATTTTCACAGTTTGTGTTTCATTTCTAGTAGAAACATATTGTTAAACAATTGACGAATGATATTAGAGTAATTATTTCTGTATAAATGCACGACATACCTTCAAATACCGAAATTGCCCAATTTTTTTGAGACTTTGTTGCCGTCATACAGTAGATGTAGAAACGATCTCATCGAGGTCGCATTCAGATAGTTGACCACATCTTGCTTTTTTGGGTTTGAATGAATTTCTGCTTTTTTGTTTTTGTTGTTTACATTGTTTTGAACCGAAATGTCAAGGTTTAGATGAAAATCAAAAAGTGGAAATTTCTTAAAAATGCCGTCAGAAATGATTGTGAAAAAATCCTCCATTTTTACGAAAACAAATTTTGCCGGTAAGTCGTGTCTATTTCCTCTGATATAAAAAAATTTATAAAAGTTAGAGGGACACTGTCAATGGAATGTCGCAGTAACATTCTTCCCTCTAACGGACTTTGAAAGTATTACCTTCGAAATAAATTAATGTTTTGACACACTTTGGAATATTCTAGATCTGTTTACTTTTACGAGTACATTTTTTGTCATGCGTCGCGCCAACTTGTATTCGTAAACTTGAAAACACTAGCATAATGTTTTCAAGTTTACTCGCACATGCGTGCCATTGACAGTGTGTAGTATCCATTGTATCATAACCATAGCAACATGGAAAGTGACTGGCATAATCTAATATGATATAGTAAGGAGTGTATACATAGATATGATCGTGGTAATAAAGTAATTCTTGTGATTTACATACTGTCTGTGCATTACTGTTATTGCTACGTTAAACAAGACGTTATACAGTGCCCCTTTAAAGCATTCTTTTTTGTTTTGAATTTCAATATCGTCATTGACTTGCCTATTGAGCAATTGCGTCCTGTGTATCCAGCGATACAGCTGCAAGTATAGTTGTTAACCTCATCTGCACATGTTGCGCCATTTTGACAGGGATTCGGTTCGCATTCGTCGATATCTATATTGAAAAAACTTAGTTAAATCATTCTTTTATCCCTTCGATAT